AAGGTGTTATTGCAGGAACAAACTGGTTCAGCAGTCAATGGGATTTCAACAGTAATCTTTAAAATCAGCTCACATACCCTCTCTGACTGTCTCTTCTCTTTATATTTTCTTAATCTTGTTAAATGGCTTAAAGCATTGTTTAGACTTCCGGTCTTAGATTATGTGTGTGTTTGTGTGTCTGAGTGTGGGTTTACAGGTCTATAAAAAAACACTAATTAGATTATACTCACCTACACAATAAGTGTCATTAAAAAAACGTTACTACATTTCTTTAAACCCAGTTTTTCCCTTTCTCTTCTGTATCAAATGTATCAAAAGTTATTATATACACTATTACTGTATCGAAAGTTATTATATACACTATTACTATTTTTTCTGGACATTTCATAAGATACATTAAACAAGAATAAAGACTTTATTCAACAATTTCTTCTCTTCCATGTCAGTCTTTGCTGTGTGTTCACGAGAGTAAGATATTTAAAGGGGTCATATGCTTTTTTAAAGATCATTATTTTGTGTATTTGGTGTAACAGAATATGTTGACATGCTTTAATGTTCAAAAAAACACATTATTTTTCAAATACTGTACATTATTGTAGGTCCTCTATGCCCCGCCTCTCTCAAACGCTTCATTTTCTACAAAGTCCCTCCTTCCGACAAGCGCAGTCTGCTCTGATTGGCCAGCTGACCCAGTGCCCCTTTAATTGCACAGGTAACTGAGCCCTGAGGTTTTCTACCACAGAAATTAATTCTAAAACAATTGATTAAACTGTGAATATTTGAGAGGCTGCTGATACTTCATTCTTGCTGAAGATGCAAAAAAGTTACAGACAAACCACTCTTTTAAAATTCTACAGCATTTAGTTTTTGTTTGTTTGTTTGTTTTTAGGCAGCTTTCAGTTGTTTTTCTCATCTGAGCTGTATAAGAACTGTTGGCTTTTCATAACCTTGCCAACCTTGTCAACAGCCTGAGATGCTTAGCTAGTCTCTCAACCCGGTCAGGCTGGTCTGTTCTGTTCTGAGGGGTTTTGAGCACTTGTCAACTGAGAAAGCTGGGAGAGCAGCTAGGTCAGTGGAAGACCAGCTCAGGCAGGCTTTTAGACCAGCAAGACCAGTAAAAACCAACAAAAACCAGCAAACCATCTTAGGCAGCGTTTTTTTTTTTTTTCATCAATATGATTGGAACTTTTTGTTATGAACATTAATATCCCTGCGCAGTACATTGTGTCTCTCTTCTGCTTGTTCTTTTGCAATGTTTGATATTGCTTAATATTTTTAATTCTGTTTCTAATTCTGTTTCAGAGTTTAGTTGCTCAATTCTGTCTTTGTCCATGACCGCCCTCCTCAATGTATGCTCACACTCTGGAGATGCGATCTGGCCTTCTCTGCACAAACACACAAATGTAAACACCTAACACATGAGAACGCACTAACACACACACACAATAT